TAGATCTCTGTGAGTTCAAGGCCAGCCTGGTCTACACAGTGAGTTCCAGGACAGCAGGGGATACAGGGGAGACCGCCTCAAAAAGACCAAAAAAAAGCTGGGTGTGGAGACACAAGCCTTTAATCCCAGCACTTGGGAGGCAGAGGCAGGCCTACATTGCAAGTTCCAGGTCAGCTGGGGCTACAGGGAGACCCTGTCTCAAAAAGACCAAAAAAAAAAAAAAATTAAAATAATAAAAGGGGATGGAGCAGGGATGCCATCCAGTGTCACAGAGTTCATGGAGCACTGAAGGGCTTGTTTCCTTTTCAGTTATGAACTAAGAAATAGATCTGAGTCTTCCCTGCTCTTCCCTTCCAGCTCAAGTGCTCCAATGACAGCTTCTCTGTGATTGCTGACTACTTTGGCCGAGGAGTTTTCAACAAGTTGACTTTGCTGACTGACCCTCCCACAGCCAGACTGACGCCCAGCCTGGAAGCTGGGCTGCAGCGGGACATGCTAATGCACTCCAGGAGGGGCACTTAAGGAGCATATGGGAAAGCAAGTGTATGACCCTGGGCCCCTGCTGAACAAACATGGGCCTGAGGTGAGCTGTTGTTCCAAGTAGATGTGTCCACAGTTCTATACCCTCAGGACTCAAGGGGATGCATTTTTTTCCTGCCTCCTTTTGCCAGCCTACTGTCCTTCCTACTGACTAGCAGTATAGATTAGGTCACACCAGCTTGGGGGGCGGTCTCAGCAACCTCTGAGACAATAGCTGCTTTATTCTTTATTCAAGAGCACCAGGCTGTACTTGGGTCCTTGCTCTCAGAGCCTATAAATAAAAGAATATAATGGATTGAGGGTTGAAGACTGTCTTATGGGGACTTTCTGGTGATTCTTAATTATGTATAGGCACTACCTCTCTGTGTTCTAGAGCTCTAGTTCCCTTCCTGGAGTCTTCATGAGAGATCATGTTGACTCTACTTCAAGTCAATAGTGGGTGGGGCCTGTGGCATCTAGATTAATTCAGCTGACTGAAGAACTTCATTGTGTTTTTTTCCTGCCACCCCCTGGTAGTACTGGGACTTGAACCAGGGCTTTGCACATACTAGGCAAGTTTATTACTCCTAGGCTATGTATCCTCAGCCCTCTGAAGGGGCTGGAGAGATGGCTTAGTGGTTAAGAGTGCTTGCAAAGGATTCTAGTTTGATTTCCAGTACCCATGTCAGGAGGCTCACAGCCACTTGTAATTCCAACTCTGGGGGATCTAACACCTCTGCTCTCCATGGATACTTGCACACATGTACAAACAAATACACACATCATTTTAAAAATAAAATAAATCTTGCTCTACTTGGTGGTACACACTTTTAATCCCAGCACTTGGGAGGCAGAGGGCAGATCTCTGAGAGCTAGGCCAGCCTGGTCTACATCATGAGTTCTAGGCTAGCTGGGGCTACAGGGAGACCCTGTCTCAAAAAGAAAAAAAAAAATCTTAACAGGGAGGGGCACTAGTGAAGCTGGGCATGCCTGTAATTCCCCATAACTTGGGAAACTGAGGCAGGAGGATCACAAATTGGGAGCAGCCTGGGCTACAGAACAAGCTCCAAGCCAGGCTGGGCTATATAGTAAGATCCTATCAACAAAATAGTGACTGAGCTCCGTGCACAGCCTAAGGCATACAAACCAGCTTTTGCTCTTCAGTTTTTTGACATGGTCTCAACATGTATATGTAGCCCTGACTGGCCTAGAACTGACTATATAGACCAGGGTGGCCTGGAACTCATAGAGATTGGACTGTCTCTGCTTCTTAAGTGCTGGGATCAAAGGTGAGTGCTACCATGCCTGGCTTCTGGTACTTTAGTCTTACTGGTCTCCCTGGCTCCAGTTCAGTGGAAATATTCAAGCAGAAACTGGACTGGGTATGATAGTCCCATGCTTGCAGTCTAACACTTTTGAGTTGGGGGCAGAAGGGTCAAGAAAACAAAACTGGCTTCATGAGACCTTGTCTCAGCAGAGCCAGTGAGATGGCTCAGCAGGTGTAGACACTTCTAAGCCTGACCTGAGTTTGATCCCTGGGGCCTACATAATGGAGAGAACCAACTTCCTCAAGTTGACTTCTGACTTCCGTGCACATATATACATATGCACACACAAATGTAATAAAAAATTTAAAGTATTCAAGCATGAGGTATATAGAGGGTCTTGGGCCTAGCCAGGTAAGTTAGTGTCTTACTATACTAACCAGATAAGCAGTATTATTTTATTTCCCTAGTCCCAGCCAGCCTAAAAGTCAGTATGTGGACCAAGCTGGCTTAATCTCACAGAGATCCACCTGCTGTTGCCTCCTGAGGGCTGGGATTTTTAAAAAATATTTTATTTTTTATTGTATTTTATATTTATTATTGTTATTATTATTATTATTATTATTATTATTATTTTGGTCTTTTTGAGACAGGGTCTCCCTGTAGCCCCAGCTGGCCTGGAACTTACTCTGTAGACCAGGCTGGTCTCAAACTCACAAAGATCCGCCTGCCTCTGCCTTCCGAGTGCTGGGATTAAAGACATGCGCCACCATACCTGGCCTATTTTATTATTTTTATTTTATGTGTATGAGTATTGCCTCCATGTAAGTGCACTTGTTTTGTGCAATGTCTGCAGAGGTCAGAAGAGGGCATTGGATTCCCCTGGATCTGGAGTTATGGACAGTTGTTAACTGCTATGTGAGTGCTGGGAATCGAACAGGGGTCCTCTGCAAGAGCAGCCAGTGCTCTTAACCACTGAGCTATCTCTCTAGCCATAACTTTTTATTTTTAATTATGTGTATGTGTGTGTGTGTGTGTGTGTGTCTGCATATGGGTATGAACACATTAGTGCCGGTGCCCACAGAAGCCAGAGGTGTGGGAGTCCCCAGGAGCTGGAGTCACAGGTGGTTGTCAGCTGCTTGATATGGTTGCTGGGACTTGAACTCAGGTCCTCTGAAAGAAGAACAGTATGTGCTCTTAACTGATGAGCTATCTCTCCAGCCCAAAAGATCTTTTGTTGAAACTTTTCCTTTTTAATGTTGCCAGCTTAAACATTGCTACCTTGCCATTGTTATTTGGGTGACATGTCCTGTCAGAAAATTGCCCCATGGGGTTGTTTAAGGAAAGTAATATGGACTTTGTGACTTAAGCTGCTTGTTAAAGAAGAGTTAAAGTATTGGAAAGTATCCTAGTTGAAGTATCTTAGGAGTTTTTCTGGTTTGGGAAGGTTTGCTCGTGTGTGTGTGTGTGTGTGTGTGTGTGTGTTGTGTTTGTGTGTAAGGGCTCTTTTTGTTTTTGAGACAAGGTCTCACTGTGTAGCCCAGCTTCAGATTCAGAATCCTCAGCCTTTCAGTGCTGGCACACAACTGGCATCATCCTCAACCGCACCCAACACAAATGTCCCTCTCCCACTACAGTTAATGTCTTTTTTGAGACAGGGTCTTCCTGTAGTCCCAGCAGGCCTGGAACTCACTAAGTAGATCAGATTGGCCTCCATCTTACACAGATCTACCTGCCTCTGCCTCCTGAGTGTGGGTTTAAAGACCTGCACCACCACACCCAGCCCTTTTCTTTTTGAGATAGGGTCTCATGTAGCCCAGGCTAGCCTCAAACTCTTCATAGCTGAGGATGATCTCAAATTGAATTCCTGATCTTTCTGCTTCCACCTCTCAAGTGCCTGGGCATACCACCATGCCTAGGTTTGGACTTGACTTTTTGACACAATTTCTTTGAAGAAGTTTCTTTTTTTCTTTTCTTTTTTGGTCTTTTTGAAACAGGGTCTCCCTGTAGCCCCATCTGGCCTGAAACTCACTATAAAGACCAGGCTGGCCTGGAACTCACAGAGATCAGAGATCTGCCTTGCCTCTGCCTCCCAAGTGCTAGGATTAAAGACATGTGCCCATGCACCCCAACACCAGGCGCTGAACTAGTTTCATTTTTAAAAGTAGAAATTCAGGCATGGTAGCACATGCCTAGAATCCTATCTAGCACTTGGGAGGTGAAGTTCAAAGTCATTCTGGGCTACATGACAAGTTTGAGGCAAGGTTGGGCTATGTGAGACTCCGTCTCAAAAAAAAGTCTACCTATTTCAGAAGCTAAGCTATTTCAAAGCTAAGTTTGAACAGTCACACAAGTTACACAAATGCCATACACGTTATTCTAATCATCTCTGTCACGCTGGAGGTATGATGCTGTGAAATTCTGAGGGGGAGTGTTTTGGAACTGCCCTGTGGATGATGAATGAATACTCCAGTGGGCATGTTAACTTGTACAAGTCACCTTTACCTAAGGCTCTGCATTTTAGGGTTAGTCTAATCTCCCCTTTGGCAATGGCTTATTTTTATCTGTTAGAGAGCCCAGTGTGGTGAGAGGTGAAGGCAGAAGTGATCAGGAGTTCAAGATCCTTACCTATAAAACAAGGCCAGCCTGAGCCTGCATGAGGAGAGAGAGGGAGAGAGGGAGAGAGAGAGAGAGAGACAGACAGACAGACAGACAGACAGGAGGGGGAGGGAGGGAGAGTGAGAGGGAGGGAGGGAGAGAGGGAGGAAGAGAGAGAGAGAGAGAACACGCATGCTACTGCACGTGTGTTCAGAGGATAGCATTTGCAGAGAGAGGGAGGGGGGAGGAGGGGGAGGGAGGGAGAGAGAGAGACTCTCAAACCAGAAAGCCTATGGGAAAAATGGAACTAGGGCCAGAGCACTTGTAGCAGAGCCTGGGAGCTTGAGTTCGATCCCCGGGACCCACAGAGTGGACGCAAAACCGGCTCTCAGGTCCTACTCTGATCTTATGTGCACGCCCTGGGCACAGGTGCACCACATTATGGGACTTCGTCCTGCACTGGGCCAGGTGGATACCTGAGCGTGGGGCCGGCGGTGTCGCAATGCTAATTCCCGCCCAGAGGAAGGTGCCGCCCGGCGGAGGGAGGGCGCCGGACGTGACGCAGAACCCCGCAGTACTGCGGCCGGCTGGTGTGGGATCGGGCCCCATGTGCCCTCCGTCCTCGCCGGCCCTAGTCGCCGGCTTGTGCCGAACCCGTGGGACCGCAGTGGCACCGCCGCGCCTGCGCCCTGAGCAGAGTCATGTCCGGTAACTGCGGCGCCGCCGTGCCCGCGGTGAGTTCTGAGCCGGGGACCCGCACGCTCGCGGCGCCCTGGCTGCACCGATTGGCCCCGGGCGGCGGTGCTTCACCGCCTATTGGTCGGAAGGGCTAGCTGTCACCGCATTTTTCTCGGTCCCGTTCTTAAAGGACCAGTAACTGAGTTACCCTTAGACAGGAAAGGGGTGATCCGTGACCAGTGGGGGTGGGGTTAAGAGTGGAAAGGTGGGCTTCCGTGGAACTCCATTCCCGTGGGCTTCTGGGTGGGCTTCCCATGGCTCAAATGTTAGTGACCCAGCCAGTAAAGGTCTTGTGCACAGACAAGATCCTTGCACAGGGTAGGGACAGGCAAAGGCGACCTCCTTGGAAGCTGGTCGACTCGAGCTGGAGAGAGCTCACCCCAAGTCGTGGAACTGTATACAAACATCTTGGAGGCGTGCCTTCGCCCTTTCTCCGTTACGGGTCACCCAGCCCCACCCACTCTCCAAGTCTCCTACAGAGACACACCTCCGATTTACTACTGCTGTTTGTGGGGTGCCCCACCCCCACCCCGGGCCTTGTTACTCTGCCTCCCTTTTGGAAACTCTGGGCTTGTGCACCAGCATATTACAGAGCCTTGAAGGCCACTGACTGCCTGAGATAAGACCTAGGCTTACTTATCTCCTGTCCAGGCTGCTGGTGAGCAAGCAGTAGGATTCTTTGCTTGTACTGAACACTGTCAGGGGTAGGAAGATCTGCATTTCACCACCAGTTTTCTGCCTATTAGCTGTGGGTCTTAGAGCCCATAATTTGACCCCTCTGCACTTTACTTTAGTAACACATTGTGGAAGAGGTGCCTTTCCTGTCCAACCTAATAGGATTGTTGTGAGGAAAACAGCATGCAAAAACAATAGCTCTAGCATATGAATGATCAATACTTTTTCTTTTTTAGACTAAATCTTGCTATGTTCTCCAGGCTGGTCTCAAACTCTGGGCTCTGGTGATCCTCCCAGTTCACCTTAAGTGCTGAGACTAAGGCATGTGCCACCATGCCCTGCAGATAATTGTTTAATTTTATTTATTATTATTATTATTATTATTATTATTATTATTATTATTATGTGTGTGCATGTGTCATGTGGGCATGTGCCACAGTGGAGGTCGGAGGATGACTTTCAGGTGTTGATTCTCTCCTTCCACAGTGGCATCTGGGTCAAACTTAGATTGTCAGGTTTGCACAGCAAGCATTTTTACCCATTGAACTGTCTTGCTAGCCCAAATATTTATTTTTTCACCTACTGTACTTTGTTTTGTTTTGTTTGAGACAGGATCTCCCTGTAGCCCCAACTGACCTGGAACTTGCTATGTAAACAAGGTTGACCTCCATCTCAGAGATCCACATCCCCGTCTCCTGAGTGCTAGGATCAAAGACCTGTGCCACCATGCCTGGCTCAAATATTTTAAAAATTTTATTTTTATTTTATGTATATGAATGTTTCACCTGCATTTATGTAAGTTCATGGAGGCCAGAAGAGGATGTCAGATCCTCTGGAACTGGAGTTACAGGCAGTTGTTAGCCACCATGTGGGTCCTGGGAATCCAGATCTGCTGTAAGAATAATAGCCAGGGCTGTTAAGCTCTTGAGCCATCTTTCCAGTCTCTCAAATACTTAGTTTAAAAAAATATTTTATTATTTTTAATTATGTGTGTATGAGATGTTTTACCTACATATATGTAAGTGCAACATGTGTGTGCAATGCCTGCAGAGCCTGGTCTTCCAGAAGACAGCAAATGTTCTTAACTGCTGAGCCATATCTCCAACCCCAAATGCTTTTTTTTATTTTGTCTTTTTGAGACAGGGTCTCCCTACAGCTCCAGCTGTCCTGGAACTCATTATGTAGACCAGGCTGGCCTGTAACTCACAGAGATCCACCTGCCTCAGCCTCCCAAGTGCTGGGACTAAAGGCGTGTGCCACCACTCCAGGCTCATAAATATTTATTTTAAAAAATATTATTTTTATTTTATGTGTATGAATGTATTGCCTGCATGTATGTGAGTGCACCCATGTCCTGCAATGCCGTGGTGATTAGAAGAGGGCTTTAGATTCCCCTGGAACTGGAGTTAAGGACTGTTTGTAGCCGCCATGTGGGTGCTGGGAATCGAACCTGAGTCTTCTGCAAGAGCAGTCAGTGCTCTTAACCACTGAGACATCTCTCCAGCCCCGAAATACTTATTTTTTAATGCAACTAATTGACTTGAAAATGTGCTGGTTCAATGAAATTAAGGGATTTTTGGGGGGGAGTGGGAACCTTAGATGCCTTTCTGTGGGTTCCTTGTGGTCTAGAATTTTTGTGATACAGTTGGCATTCCCCAAGTTTGCAAAGAGCATCCTGGAGTAGATTTATTAGAAGAGTAATCACAACAGAGGAGACTGGAGTCCAAGAGCAGTAAGCTCTCACCTCAAGCAACAAAGAACCTGAATATCTGGTTACAAAAGAACCTGTGAGTTGAGGATCTCAGTGCAGGGAAAGTTGATGGTTTCTACAGTGACTCTGGTCAGTAGAAAGTAATAAGACTTTTGTGTAAGGCTGCAGAACCCAGTTCTACCTGCTCAGCTCTGAGCTCCTTTGTCCAAGGCATCCTGGGAGGAGAAAGAGGTGTGTCCTTTTGAGGTCTTGGATTGGGCTTTAACACTCCAAGATTTACTAGGTGAAGCTTGAGGCAGCATTTATGCAATGTTAGTAGTTTAGCCTCATCATCTTCTGTAACATCTTGAGGCATTTGGATGGACTTTCATTTCATAGATGAACAAGTCCTGCCTGGATGATATCTCCAGTCATGTAGCCTAGAGGCTGAACAGGACTGTATGTTAAATGGTTGACTCCAGACCTTATGGGGGTGCAGATTAAGGGACCCTTAGTGTGGCAGCTATGGGGTAGCTCTCTCAGCATCTGGGGAGTAGTGAGGCATTCTCAAGTGCGTGCTCTGTTGTGGTTTGTGAGCCTGCCCTCCAGTGATGTGTGGCTTCAGCTGCTCTGCCCCACCCTCCTGCAGGGTCCACCCTCACTGTGGTCAGGCTGATGGGCCTTATCATTTTACCCACCTGGCTGTGTGCAGCCCTCCCACTGAGAACTGCCTTGGCCAGCCTGGGCTTTGGGGTTCAGTGTCCTGGTTGCTGCCACTTCCACAACAGATCCTACTACTGCCTTCCTCTGCTCTCTGCTTCTGTGGACCCTGTTGAAAGGAAGAAGGTACCAAGGAAGGTTAAGGGACCAGGCTTGGAGTATTTCCCCACTTGTAGGCTCAGCTGGCCAGGGACTAAGATTCCTCTCTTCTAAGCCTGTGATTTTGGTTCTTGGATAACGTGTTGTGGAACAGACTGTGATGTGGAGACTTCTTTCTGCAGGAAGAAAACAGCTCAAAGATGAGAGTGATTCGAGTGGGTACCCGTAAGAGCCAGGTGAGTGCAGGCACCATTGGGCATTGCCAGAAGAGTTCTAGTACTCACAGGGCCAGAGGTTGAGAGGGCCCCAGATGGCTAGTTCCCAGCATAGAGGAAATAGAGTGTCTGGGGGTTCAATTTCATGGGAAATAGCAGGTTGCTTCCTGCCACAGAAAAGGTGGACCAGGGGAAGTTGGTGGGGTACAGAGAGGACTCCCAGGCCAGGCTTTTCTCATTCCCCTTTGAGAATTCTAGTCCCTTTAGGACTAGAACGAATCTGAGTCTGAGGCAGTAGCTAGGGAAGGGCAAGACTAACCTGAATCTCTGTCCCCAGCTGGCCCGCATACAGACGGACAATGTAGTGGCGATGCTGAAAACCTTGTACCCAGGCCTTCAGTTTGAAATCAGTAAGTTTTCTTGAGAGAAATGAATGAAAATGAATGGAAGACTAATACCCTTGACGGGGAGAATACAGTGTTTCTAGCTTTGCCTATGGTCAAGCCTGGGCCTCTGCTCGCATGAATCTGTTTTGGCTGCTCACAGTTGCAGGCTTGCCTCCTCTGAACATTTCTACCTCCAGCTCTCTGGGCTAGCCTGGCATTTAACCCTTTCTGCCTTGGGTCTTCTTATGAATGCGTCTGCTTTTCCTCTTAGATTGTCTATTCCTAGAGGGTAGGAACTGGAGCTATGTGCCTCTGTCCCCACCATGAATCTTAGCACAGTGCTGGGTCAGTAGTGACTCAATAAATATTGACTAATGGGCACCTAATTGACTCTCTCCCCAGTTGCCATGTCTACCACAGGGGACAAGATTCTTGACACTGCACTCTCCAAGGTAACACTATCTTTCCTCCAATCCCTGTTCCCATTCCTTTCTATAAGAGATTCACTCTGAGGCTCTTTCCTGGCAGATTGGAGAGAAGAGTCTGTTTACTAAGGAGCTGGAATATGCCCTGGAGAGAAATGAGTAAGTGAAGATGGGAGAGTATGGCACCCCTTCCAGTCTCTTGTTAGAACCCCAGATTGCTACATTCCCTAGTATCACCAGCTGAGGGCCTCATTTGTGGAGTTCGGATTTCTAGACAGGAGAGTGTCTTGGTTTAGAGCCTTCTGGCTGGCTGCCTAGAGTATGAGATTGCCTGGGGAAATGCGGTAGAAGGGAAGTTGAAAAGAGAGCAGGCCTCAAGGTCCCAAGGTCTCAGGAAGGCCTTCCTGAACTGTGTTCTTCCTTAACTTTCACTACAGTAGAGGCAGGGGTAGGTGAAGAGTGAGGTCAGCTACTCAAAGCCTCTCTCCTTGCCCTCCACCTCTCATTTCTAGAGTGGACCTGGTTGTTCACTCCCTGAAGGATGTACCTACCGTGCTACCTCCTGGCTTTACCATTGGAGCCATCTGCAAGTAAGAGTCCTGCATGTAAGGGGGCCTGGGTAGGGACCTGACCAGAGCCTTTGCTTTTCCCTTTGGGACTTGGCCCTCTGCTTCAAAGGCATTAAGCCTGGTAGAAAACTTAGAAAACCCAATTGGTTGACTGTTTAGAGGGAATGGATTTGAGCCCAGTAGCATATGCCTATAATCACAGCTACTAGGGGACTGAGACAGGAGGATAGTAGGTTCAAGGTCTGCCTGAGTTATAAAGTGATTTTAAAGCCAGCCTGAGAAACTTAAGTGAAACCTTGTATGTGTGTGGAGGTGGGGGGCAGTGAAGACCTAAGGACCTGAATTTGATCCCCAGGACACACGTGGTGGAAGGAGTGACCTGGCTCCCACAAGTTGTTCTCTAACTTCCACATACATGTCATGGTACACATGCATGCTTGTGCATGTGCACACACACAAAATAAAATAGCCAAATGTTGTGGCTCATGTCTGTAATCCCAGCACCCAGAAGCTGAGATTGGAGGATTGCTGGGTGTCTGAGACTTACCTTCGGATACATGATGAATTCCAGGCCAATTTGAGCTAGAGTGAACCCTGTCTCCAAATAATAACTTAATAATAATAGTTTTTTAAAGTAAAAAGAGGGTTGAGGGTAGCTGGGCTTGGTGGCGCATGCCTTTAATCCCAGCATTTGGGAGGCAGGGGCAGGTGGATCTCTGTGAGTTCAAGGCCAGCCTGGTCTACATAGTGAGTTCTAGGACAGCTGGGGCTATAGGGAGACCCTGTCTCAAAAAGACCAAAAAAAAAAAAAAAAAAACCACCCCCCACCAAAAAAGAGGATTAGGATGTAGCTCAGTGGTTGCCTAGCTGTGTGCAAGGGCCTAGGTTCGATTGCTGGTGTGAGAAGAGAGAGAGAGAGAGAGAGAGAGAGAGAGAGAGAGAGAGAGAAGAGAGAGAGAGAGAGAGAGAAATGGAGATGAAATATCTCATTTGTTTACCAGACGGGAAAACCCCTGTGATGCTGTTGTCTTTCACCCAAAATTTGTTGGGAAGACCCTAGAAACCTTGCCAGAGAGGAGGTGAGTGGAGCCTGAGTAGACACTTGCTGGGATGTACACAGAAGATAGAGGGATGGAAGGTGGAGGAGAAGAACAGCCTGTGTTAAACTTCATTTTAAACTCCCTGAACAGCACAGTGGGAACCAGCTCCCTGAGGAGAGTGGCCCAGCTGCAGAAAAAGTTCCCACATCTGGAGTTCAAGAGTATTGTATCCTTTCTCAATAGGGAAGGGGCCCTGGCTAGATAGGAAGAGGTTTAGAGGACTGAGAGTGGAGAGGCTCCAAAGCAAGTGACCCACAGAGGCAATGGGTTGTCTGTCTTTCTATCCATCCAGCCAGCCAGCCAGCCAGCCATTCATCTATCTATCCAGTTCTTTAATGTTTTCTTAACAGGTTCTTTCTTGGTAGTGGGAATAACTGTAAAATAAACATTGTCCCTGCTTTTATAGTTTACATGTTAGTTAGACAGATAGCCATTGACAATACAGAATGATACTAAGCAGTGATTACTTCCATGGTGGGGATGGAAGGTGCTTCAATTTTTACTTTATTTTAAAAGTATTTTATTTATTTATTATTTATTTATTTATTTATTTTAT